AATATGTGATGAGTAAAGATAGAAGTTAAAGGTGAAAGTTCTTACCCAACTTGGTTTTTGGAACTATATCCCATCGGGTAGGCACCACGCAGCGGTCAGACTCGAAAGCCCACTCGCCTCCGGTAAAGAAGAATTTTCTCTTCTACTTGTGAAGATTGGATGTAAGCCTGGTAATGAACTTGTCAGATCTCAAAGAGAAGTAGTACCACCCCCGGTGCGAAATGGGGTTTTCCAAATGTACGTAGGTGCTCAAGAATTCCTCAAAGGGTGGAGGAACAGTAGTGCCATGCACCAAACCCCATAATGCAAAGAATGTTGTTATCACCCGCCAACCATTCAGGGCCAATTTTCCAGGAACCAACAATCGATGACTCAGACCCTGTCATATGGGATCGGGAATTAGGAGTCTCAGGCCAGCCTCCAGCATGCCCTCATAAAGGAAAATCTCATTTAAAGAGTCACAGGATGTTGACTCATTGGGCTCAGCACGACGACATATCACAGAGGGTGGAATGTGATAAAAAGAGACTACGACTACAACATCTTCATCACTATGAAAGGAACTAAATATGGGGGTTACCTTTAAATCATTGCCTCTATTGGCAGATGGGCCTCCTTCGGGGTCCCTAGCACTCTCCCTCTCGCCTGAGTGAACAACTGACAAAAGCAAGTTCAGACCACTGCTAAAGAAGATAATTATAGCAACACAAGAGTTAAAAAAAAATTGGGAAACATACCTCGAGAGCTCGTATTGTCCAAATCGCTGATTAACCGTTTCCTGGCCTCACGAAGGGAAGAATGAACCCCACCTGGTATGCCTAAGGAGCCGTCTAGGGAGCTTGGGGCGCCGCCCAGCTCAGGACACGAGCTGCTTGTCTCTCTTAAGGAACCTCCTTGCTGCTCTTTGACACCTTGGGTCCCTCCCACTACACTAAAGGGATTGTTTGAAGCCTTCCTACTCGTACCTAATCTCACACCAATGGTCTCAAAGAGTCTCTCACTAGTTGCCGAGACCACGCCAAAACCACCACGAGGAGAAAGACCCGAGCATCCAAAGCCCGAAGAGGGGTCACCCAAGCTCCTTGCATCGCACATTGGGACCCCTGGTGCACTTCCTCCTCGCTGCTCCTCGCTAAGATTAAGTGCTCCACTGCCTGCATCACGCTGAACTTCACTCGAAGCATGGGTGTCGCCCGATTGGCCTCCCTCCTCATGGGTGTCACCTATGGGATTAGGGCCACCAGTTTCTCTTCACTCCACCCCACGTGTTTTTGAGCTCCTAGTCTCAATGAGTATTGAAAAAGGGAAAATACCAAGGAAGATATGGCGTTGAATAGTAGACTAAAAGGGAGAAATAGAGGAAGATGAGGTGAACAGTAGCCTTGAGAGGTCTTTAAATAGGGAGGGAATAGCTTCTTGAGGAAGCCTTGGCAAAACTTCTTGAGGAAGCTTAGTGAGTTAGTGAGTTAGCTTCTTGGAGAAGCTCAATGGAGTAAGCTTGGAAGGACTCCCTTTGACAAAAGCCTCCAAAAGTGAGAAAAGAATGAGGAAGATGAGAACAATGACCTCTATTTATAAACGAGGATGCAGTTAAAAAAAAAATCGATATCGAAGCGTTCAGTAAGTCTCTGAAGATGAAAAGATATCGTGGAAAGCAAGAAAAATTCCAACTCACCTGGATGAAACGAAGCACATGCCCTCTACCCATTCCTCTAAAAAAAAAGTCAAAGGCTCGGGGCATGGGGGCCAAATGATGAGCCCAAATTTTACTGAGTCAAGCCCCATTTAAGAAAATCAAGAAAGCCCAAATTAAAGCTGGTTAAACCATCATAGGGAGTCCGAAGCACCAAAGGAGCCAAGAGGCCAGCGGTAAGGATCCCCAAGGGGAGGTGCCGCCCAAGGGCACCCCAAGGGGGCGCCACCCATGTGGTCTCCAAGTGGGCACCGCCCATGGCTTGCCTCTATGTTCCTATTCTCCCTTCTTCACTCTAGTGCAAGCCCAAGTCTAGCCTACTCTAAGTCCAAGCTTAAGGTCAGGGTTAACACAACTTAGCATCCTCCTCCAAAGGAATAAGAATACGAGCAAGAGAATATCGGGATACGGAGATTCAATCCTACTAAATTTGTACTTACCAAAATGGGAGAAACCCCCTTTCGCATGTCACTGCCTCACTGCCTTAGTGAACCTATATAATGTAAGTCCTCTACATATAGAGGGCATACATTCGTGACTTGGAAACCTTTACAAGATCCCTACGCATACTACACCTCCCTACACACATTGTCACCTCTCTTAAAGCATTGTAATACTCCCAGAGTATATTCTCTCGGTTACACTATTCATTAATAAAAACCTCCGAGCACTGCTGCCGTTCCTGAGAGTGGAGTAGGTTATCCGGACCAAACCATTATAAATATTTGTGTTGATTGCCTATTTATCAGTTTAGCTCTTGATTATCATTAATTGTTTGTTTACTGTTCATCGATTGCCCCCGTTCACATTCTTGACTGTTGATTTTGCGCAATACCAATTTGTGTATCATCACTAGGGGCAACTCGTGCCTCTGAATTCACGATGTAACGTAAGTGAGATGTGATAGATTTGAAGAAGAAATTTAATATGAATGATTTTGAGAAGAATGTTGATGGCCGTTCGATGAGTATATATGAGACAGTTGGATGAGTTCATTGAAATCTGTCATGTTTTATATTATAGAAATTTGACACCGTTAGATAAACTTATTGAACTTTATCCTGTTTTATATTATAGATGTGAGATTTATATATCTAAATGTACGATTATACCATGTTAACATAATGATGTGATATAACTGTTACACTTAATATCTATTACTTCGAACGAGGGTCAAGTAATTGACCTCATAAATTTTATTTTTTTAAACAATCCTTTAAAATTTGTTTTTCAAATCCAAGTAAATTGAATTTATAAAAAAAATGCTTTCATTGAAATCATGCTTTCAATTATGTCTTTAATTTAAAATCATATTTTAGAAAAAATTGTACGAATGAGTTTGAGTTTCAATGATTTCATAATCGGATTTAAACTAACACACATGGACTATGAATTAAAAAATGACGCACAACTAAAATGGTGGAATGATTAAGCCTATTACTAATCAATTTACCATAATTTTGTAATTTGATACGTTAATATCATACTTTCTAACTTATTTTCTAAACTACCATTACTCTAAAACCGTGATTCAAACTTAAATTTTGCAATGTAAAAGTCTTTTTCTAATGGGAAGCATGTTCAGCAAACGCGCTTTAAATTAAAAAACATGTATTCATGAAGACAACGGAAGTAAATAAATTAAAAAAAAAAAAGATATTGGGGAAATGTAATTGAAAAATTACAGTAGAAAACTGATCCTATGTAGTACATAATGTTTGAAGCTGCTCTTGTAATGAAATCCTCTCATCTTTCTAACAACAAAATCTTAAACACTACCAGAATAAATTGCATTGCCATTTAGAAACAGAAAACTATTCAATAATTAATTCCTTCTCAACTTAGGCTTTATTTTTAATTACAAATTTTGATCAAACACCTCTACACCTGCTTCCTTACTAATTCAATGACTTATATCCTTGGTCTTCAATCATGGATTGACTCACACAACATGAACATCATCACCTCTGAAAGAAACGGTAATGTAATATTTCATTATAAAGCAGTCAAGATCAATACACCCAACAAAACAGTTCATATGAAACACAATGGCACACCGTGTTCATTGCCACACTTATGGTTAATGTATTGGGAACGCGTAACATCAAAAAATTATTTATAGAACAACATGAGCTAGTAATGTACTTAAAATTATGGGGTCTTCTAAAAATTTGGGACCTAAAGCCCATTTTTTTTTCCATACTGTTGGGCCGACCCTGCAGAACGGATAGAAAGAGCACAAGTGGTACTCGTGAATTTTTAGGACATTCATTTGTATCTTGGTTTAGTAGGAAACAAACTTTGTTGCTCTTTCAACAGCCGAAGCAGAATATACAACTATTGAGTGTTGTTGTGTATAAGTGCTATGGATGAAACATACCTTGCAAGATTTTGATTTAAGTTTTAGTAACATCCTAATTAGATGTAATAATACTAGTGCAATTAAATTAACTAGGAGTCAAATTCAACACTCTCGAACAAAACATATTGAGATTAGATATCATTTTATTTGAAATCATGTTCAAAATGGAGATATTCAACTAGAATTTATAAGAACAAAAAATCAAGTAGTAGATATTTTTACAAAACCATTGAACAAGGATAGATTCTACACACTTAGAAGAGAACTAGGAGTCGTGTATCAATTGGAATAAGGTTCAGAAAATAAGAGTTATATAAAAAGAAAATCATATATGCAATTTTTATATGACTATTGATTTAGTTGAAAGCATTACTTAACAAATGAAGGAAATACTTAGAGATTTTTTATACGAGTGTTTAATGTTATATGTATTATTTGCTTGAAAAATATGAAGCATAAATTGATTTAAAAAGAAAGGGAGAAGTTAGACACATGAATATTCGCAGCATATATAACAATTATGAAGTTGGATGTGTATTTAAACAGTTATTTTTTTGAGATAAATATGAATTATATATATATATATATATATATATATATATATAAAATTGAATAATCTGAATATAATAATATTTTGTGTGCTAGCTATATTCTCTGCTCTTGACAAATGATTGGTGATGATGGGTCATCGTGTTTTTGACGATGTCAAAGAGAAAGAAATATATGTAATTTGAGAAGATATTACATAAAGTATATGTTATATTGCCTAAGGGGCTTTTATTGTTGCTATTTTTTTTATTATGTCAAAAGGGGGAGAAAATATTGCTTTGATATATACATTTCACATTGTATGTGTGCATATGTTGAGAGAAAAGGAATTATATGCACCATTAGATTATTGTGTTTGTCATTATCAAAAAGAGGGAGAATGTTGACTCTGTGTTTGATGACGACAAAGATACTAGTTTAACTAATTATCTTCGTCTTAATTAAAGTATTGTACAAGATTGATGGAAAAACTCATGACTAGTTTGATATACGAACCTGACGAGCTCTTACTATGGGAAGCATACAAAAAAAGTGAACTTATTTGAGCAAAAATCCGCCAGTGTTCGGGGATGTGTTGAAGAAGATGACCATAGCATGGGCTCAAGAGGGCCATTGTTAACAGTCTCGTATGCCGCATCCTTCCGTACTTCAACAGGTACTCCTCCTGACGAAGGTTAATTCTCCAGGTCCTCGAATTTCACGTATCAAAGATTGGAGATCAAAATCCAAGGTTGTGACTCGGACGAATTGGCAGCTTGGATTTTGATCTCCCGGACAAATCTCAGATGCCTTCTTTATTACATCATCAAATTGAGGTTCTTGTCCGAAGAAATGAATTTTAATTTGCTTTAGGACTCGTACTAATTGCTTTCGTTATTTTAATTGGGCAAATTAGGACAGTGGACTTAATTTTATTTTGTCCTTTAAACTATTAAATTTTTCAAATTGGTGGCTTAATCCTACTTGAATTGATTTCATATTGTGTAAAACGCAACTGTTCGTTATGTTGGACGGAAATTATCAATGTGTACGATGCAAAAAGAAACAAAACACACATCTTTTCCCAAAGTGTAATTTGCCTTTGTAATTTTCTCAAATAAAGTCCTGGCAACTAGATGGAAGATAGGAGTGCAAAGCTGATTGGTTTTTGTTTTGGTTCTGTGGAAGCTACTGGTCCAGAGTATGAGGGAGGATTGTGGTTTGTTCGCCTGGCCTTGTGGTATTGTTCTGGCCGAGTACGTTTCGCAACAAAGATCACGCTTTTCCGGTGTTAATGTAGTCGAGGTATTTTTTCATGACTCTCAAGCTATGTTTATTACTTGCAGTATTTGTTTGTATAATTTAAGTATAAATGTACTATCTAGTTCTTACTGTGAAGATTGGACCTGGAACTTCATTGCTCGCCGCCAAATTGGGTGCAGATGTAATATCTGCATATGATTTGAATGGAATAGAGGTAGCCCTCGTTGAAAAATAATATTTGTTAGTATATATTCAGTTTGATGCTTTAACTTCGGTGTTATTCTTTTCATTGTCAATTATTCGAAGGTCCCAATCAATTGATCTGTAATGACATGTACAAACTAATGACTTCTGGTGTGGTGGTGGGTTTTGGGTGCTCATGGTGGCGTGGTTGTGATGGTGGGTGTTGGTGCCTTGGTGATGTGGTTGGTGGCGGCAATTGGTGGTGGTGGAGGGTGGTGTTGGGTGATGGTAGCGGTGGGTGGTGGTTGGAGGTAGCCATTTTTTTCAGCCATTCTTTCTTAAATTTTTGAAAGCTCAAATGAAATGGTTTTGTAGTAATATATATTTATCAGGGGATGCACTTGCATCAAGAAGAGACTTTCTACTAAAGAATTAAATTGGAACTTATAAGATATTGGTTCTCCTTATTTCTTTCGGTCTAGATTTGGGGATTGAACTTAGTTAACTGTAATCTATACAGAGTTTGAGACACCAAACAGATTCTATTTACTTTTAAATGTGACTTAGTTGAAGCCGTGTGTGAACACCTGGTTTTTGTGATCAAAATTACAATCTACTTATATTTTTTAACAAAAAGATTACACCAAACAGAGCTTCCACAAAAGAAAATGTTTTCTTATTTGTTTGCCAAAAAAACTTTGACAGCTTGCTTTAGCTCTACATTCTTGTTGAGAAAGCTCTCTAGCCAAATCGAAATTTTAATTTCCGTTTCCAAATGGAAAGAGGTGTCCGACTTAACTCTATGAATAACCAACGCTATGGCACCTTTATCTTTGACATAGAAGTTAGCTCAGAATATTTGGATTGGGATAGTAAATCTATAAGATATGATTATAAATGTGTGACATATTCAAGCATTAATTATGTTTTGGAATAAAAGTAGACTAATACATCATAAAATTAAACTTCTAAATGAGAAAAGAAAATTTGTTCTTAACTGGGTGTACAAAACAAAGTAATAGCTGTCAGTGTTTGACATGCCACTCCGTTCTGTTTATATCATTCGTGTGCATCTTGAGCTATAAAAAAACAGCCAAAAGTTAGAGCAAAGTTTATGACACAATTTCAAAGACTGACCTAACCCACTTGTAAGAGCTGTTATGGCTTAAATGACATAACTTTTCAGTAGAGTTTTTTTTTTTTGGGGGGGGGGCTGATGATAATGATAATGTCAAAGCACTCTATCAAGTATAAACCTTAATAGCCATCCAGTCTCCCAGCCGTGTAGTCCTTTGTGTTGTTTTTCTGATAGTTTCACTTAATCTTGGAGGTATTGGGACTCACATGGGGCGTCTTTGATGCACCTGTCTTTAACTTATGTTTGACAATCATCCTCGAAGCTAATGTGTTGTATGATGCTGGTAGGACTATTATGTTGTTCTGCTTGTTTATCTTTATGTATTGTTATCTTTCAATCATAATACTTTTTTCAGTGAAGAGAGGCTCTGATATTCGTCCTTACATTGGTTGTAAGCGTTTGATGATCTCTTTGCCACCTTGGCGTTCATCCTTAGAATTCTCCTGGTTCGGTTTTATTGATCACCTACCAGAATAGAAGGTATCATTTGTCTGCTTCCTGTCCTGCAGTTATTTTGCGCTGCAACATGTGCTTCCATGGTGTCTGTTTTTTACAAATACCAATGCATATTTTGTTCCTCTCTCTCTCTCTCTCTCATTATAAATTGGCCTTGTTTCTAATTATGTGCAGTGGGCGTCATCTCATTGAGTTCTTGATGATCAAATGGGGGTTGGAGCGTGTGAAGCTTCTTGATGGCTTTTCATTCATGCCATCCTGCAAGGCATCTATGTTAAATGACAATCTTCAGTTAGCAGAGATTGTGTTGAATGGTGAACAGGCTAAGTCAGCTTAGGCCTTACATTAGCCATGATACATTGATTTTGATGCTGCCAGCTGTGATTTACATCCCAAATATATAGACTTAAATTTCTGGAGAATTGGGCCAATATTTGTAAGTTCTTCGAGTTCCACTTCGTGAACTTTGTGAATAGATAGGATTTAATTGCTGATACAATGTAGTGACGCTCTCTTCTTTATTTCCTAAAGAGGTCGACCAAATGAAGCTATGAAGGGTGAGGTTGACTTCTTTGTTCACATCTGGCGATGTCTCTGTGCAGCTTAAAATTTCTGTATTGAATTTGAATGCATGAATGGAAAGTTATGTCCCAATTCCCTAATCTGATTTGAGGCTCCAACATTGGTTGCTGAAGATTTGAGAAGAAAATTTTGGTAAAAGTTACTTCGCCATCCTTAATGGTTCTGGACAAATAGCTGTCTATGTATCCGGTAGATGCCTTTTAATTATTTTTTCTAAAGGGGAAGAGTGGGACAATTCAGATATAAGGTTTTTGTTTGAACTTTGTAGTTTATTATTGCACATACAAACTTAGGTTATTCTATTGTCTGGTGTGATCTATATAAGACTTGTGAAAAAAAACATATTTAATAGTTGACATTCGTCACATTGTAGTAGCCGTACACATGGGTTTGGAACAAAACATACAATCCCTCTGATAAGCTGAAAAACAAGCAAATGGGAAACCCATTTTGCTAGATTACCCTTCCTTGTGTGATCCCAGATTGTCTAAATATATACTAATTGAATAATCTTATTTATAAGAGGCTCTAATTCACCACCCTGCAGTCCTTTCTGACCTCCTGGCCTCCAGTGATACTGCTCATCTTGATCATTGATTTAACAAAAGCCTTGTGGAAAGCTGCCTTTGAGCTAGAAAACTCAGAAACCAGGTCTTTTGTCTTTGATGCTGTGAGTAAAGCTTGGTCCGAAGAGAAGAGGCTCTTACCCTCGAGGAGTAGCTTGTAATATGTGTTATCAAAAGTTGTTGAGGAAGGATCCATGCCGGTGCCAGCGTTCTTTGCCTTATTTTTGATCGGGCAAATACTCCTCAAGCTTGCTGCAAAAGATGGATGCATTGAAGGGTCGATGTCGTGGGTGGAGTTGAAGTTATGGATTCGATTTTGGAAGGATGAGCAATGGGAGAAACCTAGAGTGTGCCCGCCTGTCCACAGTTGGAAACAATTCTGTCAATTTGCGAGGTATAAAATGTTTTATATGAACCAACAAGGTCTATTGTTGTTGGCCGCCCTTAATTTTCCAGGTTCTATCGACCTAAAGGGCACCCTTACACATGAAAAAAAGAAAAGAAAAGAAAAGAAAAAGGGAAAAAGAGATGGTCGATACGCGTGATAGTTCTGCAGTTGGTTTTTGTTTACCTGAAAGGGACACCAGGTCTTCCGTGGATAGACCTCTTTGAGAGAAGCTTTGATGAAGTTGAGATATATTGAAGGTAGGAGCTGGCAATTGTACGGTTTCACTAGCCTTGGACGTTCTTCCATCTTTTCTTCCTTTAGGCACATCCCAAGTTGGCCCTCCAGACTGAGTTGAATTCAATCAAACCGTAAGAATTTAAGTTATGCTCATGCACGTAATAGAGAGAGAGTAGAACTGGATGTCTGATTTTGGTAGCGAGAGTAAGAGGGATAAGAATTGGAGGTTCAGATTTTGGTATATTTGCTTACAAGCACAACAACATCTCTTGCAGCCAACGCCAAGATATCGGCACACGAGACTACACCAGGGCACAAAGCTTCCACTTCTTTCTTTGCATTGTCAACGACATAAAATGCATGCAAAGAAACATTGGGTGGCCCATCTTTTTCTGCAGTGTTCTTCCCTGCCGAATTCAACAGCACAGAAGCATCACAGCCCTTCAAGAAAGTAAAAGAATGAAGTTAAACCAGTCCTAACGAAAGACATAGCAAATTCATTTCAAGAGATCAAAATGCACGAAAAATATCAAGAATTCATTTCAATTTATAGAAATGGAAATGCCTTCGATTCGATTTTCTACCCTTATAAAACAATCATGGAAATGCATCCTCAGCAGGGCCGCAGGGACTGTTTGATCTTTCATCACCTCGCTCTTGACAACCTTGGTGATGATAGACTCGGCATCAGGGCATGTCTGTTCGTAGTAATTCAAGCTCAGTGCATTACCGAGGGAAGAGATTAAAATGACAAGCAGTGTGCATAGCAGTGCAACAGTAAAAGCCATGCTAGCTAGATATCGGCTGATAGCTCTCCACTAATTTTTGTTTAATCGTGAGTTGATGACAAGCCTATTTATAGAGAGAGGAAAGGAGAAAGAGATACTGTTATTGGCCAATTTAGAATGGTTGTTTGTTATGGGGAATTTGGTAAGCATGCATAGTTATGATGGAGTAGTGTTTTTTAAGCATCCTAATTAGTAGTACAACACAATCCATGGTTAAAGTGTATACAGTTTGCAAGAGAAAGCACATGTGTATGTTTAAGCTTCTAAATTCTATTCATTAAGTCACAGACAGATTCATCTCTTGAATTCTAAGTTATCAATGCTATCATGGGTTTTAGTGTCAACAGTGCTTTTGATCAGATATGAATTAGTTTTGTTTTGTAAAAAAATAACGTCTTGCTTGTTAATGTGTTTTTCTACGTATTTTTTAGGAAAAACAATATAATTAAAAAATAAAAGTATATTTAATTATTATTTTACAAAAATGATCTATATCCGTCTTAGTATCTAAGTACTACATTTATACGTGTGCATATGCATATTACTTTTATATGTAAAGAAAATTGAAGGAAAATTATTAAACCTGAGTAAGAAAAAAAAGCTAAAAACAAAAACAAAAAAGCAAAAATTCAAAACAAATGCTGCTTAAAAAAACTTAAAAGGCCAAAGAAATAGTTAAAAAAATAATCCATAAAAATAATTAATTATATAAAAAATAAACCATATAAGAAGGCTATAAGCTACAATTTCATTTCAACATAAAAAATAAATACATAACTACAACAAATTTCTAATTTTCTCATAGTTTTTTTTATCTCTTGATGTGATATTATACCAATCATCATAAAATTACAAACTTTTCACTTAATTTCGTGAGCATCTGGATGTTGAGTTTACTTTTTATAGTAGTTAGTTAATTGGAAAGAGAAGGGAGTCCTATTCATAAACTTGATGTCTTAGTCTGCCCATGTGACATGACAAATTAAACAGGTTAAAATATGATAAATAATTCATCGGTGGCGCGATAAACAAAAAATAAAATACTATGTTTGCTAAATTTTTTTGTCAAATGTTTCCTCCAACATAATTTCCGTCATTAAATATTAATGAGACTTATTTATCTAATAGTGAAAAACTGTGTTACATCATTTGGAATGAAGATTCGATAAAAAAATTTAGTAAGTATAGAATTATACATCAAAAAATAATACATCATCCGGTATCCAGATATGACTCTACTACCGCTCGTAAATGACTCTGAAGACTCGAAATACATAATTTTTGACGGGATTATATAAAATAAAATTATCTTAGCCGAATTACTCTTGGAGAATCGTTTGAGGCAGTTGGGTCTGAACCATCGATTAATGTCGTTACATATGTATTCCTATGCTTGCTTCCTAAGTTTCAGGTTTAGTAGCTATCATGGACCGGTGTCACTGGCTACTGTGTGATGTGATTGGTTTGTTAGAGTGTCGTTTTGGACTCTTGAAGGTGAAGTTGGGGCAACCAACGTGTGCTAGCTTTCTTTCGTGTGCATGTCCCCCCCCCCCCCCCAATCTAATTATATTGTATATTGGTTGTCAATTTGTTGGTCATAATGTTACTACGACACCGACGTCACTAGTAAAGGTTGCAGCGAAAGTTTTTTTTTTTTTTTCATTTAATATCCATATTCATCAATGACTTTTCTGTCTCTCTTTGTATATAAGTCCACATCCTGACCCTTTAAATGTTAACTTGAGTGCTGTCCGATCTAGACAGCTGATGGAGTTGCTTGCATTTCTATGTTTGGGCAAATAAATAATTTTTTACAAAAAATAAAGTGTAGTTCAAATTACTGATCATATACAACACATTGTTCGGGTTAACTAAATCACACACTCAAATTGAAAGAGTGAATTTAATTTGAAGTAATCCGTATATGGCTCTTAAATGTTTTGAAATTAAAAAGATCTTCTAACTTGTTTGGTGTTTTGAAAATATGCTTTGAGTTATTAGCGGACATCTCTTGAATATCACCCTTTAATACTTAAGAAGACAAGTTTTTTGCTTGGTTTTAGACTTAAAAAACTAGTATGGATTGCTCTATGCTCGCTAACCTTTGATAGAGTGGTCTTTTATAACTTAGGGAGGTCTAATGGGAAAATACTACGGAGGAGTATGGGGTTCACTCTATGAACTTGCTCTAGCAATCTCATAGTTGCTCGAGCAGTTTGCTCTCCTAATTAGGATGGGAACCTTGTTTTCATTCCAGTGATAACCGTCCTCCCACATATCAAGCAGTCTTTCGCGAATTTGAATTTTTTTATTGATCAAGATTATCCTTATTTCGGACTTATAAATAGTGAAAGTCTTTCCTACAGTTAGGTTAAACTTCTTATGAGTATCTAAGAGAAAAATCTTATTTTCTACCTTGACAGCTTCAACCATAACCCTAGATCCGTAACCCCAATGGCTATCATCTTGTGATTCCTCTCCAACCTCACAACTTGGAAAAGAAGAACTTTTATTTTTTTCAATAAATTAGTGGTCCACGAAGCCTCTAAAATAAATGCTTTATTTTTGGATTGAGTACATGAGAAGTAACTATCCTAATCTATTTGTATATTGACTAAAAGATAATATTTCTCTTTATTTAACATAATGTTCATTACTTTTAAGAACAATTTTTAGATTTCATTTACCATTTTTTTAGTAATAGTAATCTATAACCCAATAAAATATGGTTTGTATACAAAACATAAAAAGTTGCAACCCAAAAATATTTTAAGCTACTTGAAATAGAGAATTTATCCATAAGATCAATAATGATCTCAATTAAGTTTTGCAACTACATGAATAATAATTTTACTATGAACTTGTGATTGTGCGCGTTGATAGAAACTTAGTGAAAATTAATTTATATTTCATTAATATATAAAATTTTAGAGATAAAAAAATAATGTTATATTTTATTGAAATATATAATTGAGTCAAAATTTACTAAAAAATTAATTTATGATTTTTTATTCAAATTTTATTTCGGCTAAATAAAAATTGAATTTACTACTTCACATTAATTTTGTTTTTATTCTTAATTTTTTTGTTATTCTTGAACTTAATTTTTTTTGTATCAACTAATTAAATATTTTCAGTTATATTTGTGGCCCTCTTTGTAGATATTCTTGGCTCATCCCCTAGTGAAGACTAAACACATTGGAGTGTATAAACCAAGAGTCTTGGTTGTGAAGCCTTGAATATTGCTCGAGGCCTAAACAAACCGTGTGACGGGAAGTTTAAGTGAAGCTATCAAGACATCGAATGAGGCCCTTTGATAGAGAGATTTATTGAAGGAGAGGAGCGTCTAGCCTTGTGGATTGGTTGAGGTATAAAACTCGAATTTAGATTAACTTTGGTTTAATGGATTAGGCTTTAATAAACCGAGAAGGTTCCCCAAAATTTTTTTCGAAAAGGGTTTCTGCGTTAACATATCACTTGTGTTATTTATTGTTTTTACAAATGCGCTTGTGTTTTGATGCACTCACGAGCACTATATGTTTGATCAATTAATTGTCTGAATCTACATATAACATATAATTGTTTAATTGGGTTTGGGTTGCCTTGGTTGGGACCGTCATGTGAGATTGAGTGTTAATCAACAAATTGATAAAATTAATATACTAATCTACATGGGAATTTTGGGTTGTGGTGTTTAAATAGAGGTTCTCACTTAAAATTTTCATATCATTATGAGAAAATAATTGAAGTTGAATTCGGTTAAAATTGGTGCTTGTCTAAGCAAAATTTTGAAAAACCTATTCACCCCCCTCTAGGTCTAGCGTGCAATTTCTTGTGTATAATTGAGTAGAAAGATCCTACATGTAAAGGGTTTTATTTTCCCTAAACATTCTTATATGTAAAAGTAAGAGTTTGAATCCAATCCATATGATAGGAATCTTGGACAATAATATTCCCATCGTGGAGCTCCCCAACTAGAGTTCTATACTCACCCACCTTTGGAATTCAACCACCATCTCCCCCACCATTAATCGGACTCCTCCATGAAAAATACCTTACCTGAATCTCTGGAATCATTACCGCCCTCAAAGACTTTCTTATGCAATTTGGTCCCAATGCTTATGATGATCTTGTTGAAGGTCTCACAAAACTCAAATGGGGAAGTATTGTTAAAATTTACCAAGAAGAATTTGAAACTCTTATACGTCGCACTAAAAGTCTTTCTATAGAATTTTTTGTAAGTTGTTTCACCAGTGGATTCCAAACTAAGGTAAGGAATGGGGTCATGAGGTTTGGCTCTACCACCTTAAGTCAATGGAATCAGTCAATTGGAAGGTTTGTGCACCCCTCAAATCCAATTCCAACCTCCCAAAACCAATACTGCCCAATGCACGAGCCATGAATTATCTCCCGCCTATCAAGAGAATCTCCCAAATTAAGATGGATGAGCAGAGGGCAATGGGATTTTGCTATTACTGCAATGAGAAGTATGTTATGTGCCATCGATACAAGAAGGGACATATTTATCTATTGGAGGGAAAAGAATTGTTTGAAGAAGGTGTAGGAATTGAATTAGAGGAATCCATTGAAGGAAACAATACCCGGGAAAACTCATTTATCTTGATCATACTTTGGATGGGTCACTGTCATATCAAACCATGCGCATACAGGGCTTTATTAAGTGACAAGCGATCACCATACTTACGTATTCTGGAAGTGTTCACAACTTCTTAGACCCAAGTGATTCCAAATGAACATGATGTTGTGGCCATCAAACCAATCCTCTATCAATAGCTATGGCTGACGACAACAAGGTCAATAGTAAAGTAGTTTGTGACAACTCAAAAGGGTCATGCAGGGGACTGAATTTCAAGATCTTTTTGACTTTTATCATTAGGAGGTACTTGTTGGATCGGCAGACAGTACCAAGATTCGTTGACGGCACATTTAATTGATTACAATAAATGTATTCATCTATTAACTCTACAAGGAGGAAATAGGGTTTACTTTTGATGAGTAGTT